GAGTGACCGTAACAGAGGGGCACTTGCGGGTCACAAAGGGGGCTATAGGGGAGCGACGGGACGGAGGCGGTAAGGAAATGGGCGATGGAGTAGAGGCGAGGCTTAGATCGAGAAACGGGTTGAACTCGTTCGGATTTCGTGGCCAGTAGCGGGCGCTTCATAATAGACGTTTGGGTCAGATCACACGAGTGAAATGTGTGCCGTGAATCCAAAGTTCTTGAGTACATGTCACGGGACAGAGAGCTATATGGGGAAATGAAGGCCACGATAGCCGACGTCATTGTGACAGGCCATGGTACGGAGAGAGAGACAGTGTAAGGAAGGCCACCGTGCATTATCTGATATCTGCCACGTCGTTTTCACGTGATAGTACATCACGTGCTCGTGTCATTCATTGACTAACGTGTTGATTTTTATTGTAGTTGTTAGATTAAAAAGAAAAATTCCAGTCAATCACAGAAGCCAGCACGCACGCATTACTCACATCAGCTCTGCAGTGGAAAACGACGTCGTTCCCCGGACCGGGCACGGCCCAGTTTAACCCGCGGGTTCACCCCGCACGGGCGAGAGAGAAGGTTCATGTCGACTTTTGAGCGGCATTCAACTAAACGGCACCGCGGGGTGGAGCCACGAAGGGCTTCTGCGCTCGTTCCACTGGCCACGCGGCTCGTTCCGTTCCAGCGACCACGTGATTGTTCCACCGACCACGCGATTGTTCCACCGACCACGCGATTGATTGTTCCACTGACCACGCGGCTCGTTCCGTTCCAGCGACCACACGATTGTTCCTCCGACCACGTGATTATTCCACCGACCACGTGATTGTTAAACCGACCACGAGATTGTTCCACCGACCACGCGATTGTTCCACCGACCACGAGATTGTTCCACCGACCACGCGATTGTTCCACCGACCACGCGATTGTTCCACCGACCACGAGATTGTTCCACCGACCACGCGATTGTTCCACCGACCACGCAATTGTTCCACCGACCACGCGATTGTTCCACCGACTACGCGATTGTTCCACCGACCACGAGATTGTTCCACCGACCACGCGATTGTTCCACCGACCACGAGATTGTTCCACCGACCACGTGATTGTTCCACCGACCACGTGATTGTTCCACTGACCACGCGGCTCGTTCCGTTCCAGCGACCACGAGATTGTTCCACCGACCGCGCGATCGTTCCACTGATGGAAGAGCAGCCACAACTATTTCCGCTGCTCAGCATCACTCATATACCGTGCCAATCGAATCCGTCTCGATATCCCAAGTTACATGAATCGCATTATATCACCCACCTGTACAACACTGCGAATCGATCCATCATCGACGGTTGAATCTGTATCGATGTACAAACGATTGCTGTGAAAATTATTAGCAGCTCCTTGCGATATCGTTCCATGCGTGGTATACCGATCCCCCTCCCGGCATATGAATATGGAATTTCCACCTTCTGGTTTGAGTGCAGATAAACTATTCAAGATGACGATAGTGTATCAGTAACCACAAATGCAACATCGATTATGCCTTATCGCCCGTCAATCATTCACGTAACGGATACAGCATTCACATTATTTAAAACATCAGCCTTTCGCCTCTGTGACGTCATCGCCACGTCATGTGCCAGGCGAGGTGCACTTTGAGTTGATGTGGTACAAGTGCAGATATTTTTTGGCGAACAGACCCGTGGTGATTGTTCCCGACTCGATGCTTGTGTAGCTGCTTGAGTTTCACAATCAAAGGCAAAGACAAATTTCCCCCACGTAGCCTTTAACAAACTTTTCGGGAAGGTGCTGTTAGCGATCACCTTTCGCGTCTCACACTCATACACGTGCACACACATACAAAGACAAATATATCATGGTTAGCCTTGACAGACTGTAGGGGCAAGTGCTGTTAGCGAGCACCTATGAAGGCCGGAACAGGACATGAGGGGATGGGTGGCCAGCACCACGCCAGACCGCTTTTGTCTCCCGAGTGGCGATGTTTACACACCGGACCAGGTACTCGTTTGAGGCTGAATCGACCTTCATACACGGACCCACACCCACAAAGACGAACCCGAGGCAGTACTTACATATCTGCTCATTTCTTTCAGAAACGAAATCAAAGAAAGTCCTTAATCGATTTCGTGGAAATGTTTTAATATTATAAATACACATACGCATATATATATAACCAATAATCGCGTGCTGAACCGTGTTGATGCTCATAGTCAGTGTAATTAAGACTTACATGTGATTCAGAAGAACAACAATAATAATAATTTGCGATAACAATGACCATAATAATAACAACAACAACAAGAACGGTTCGCGTGAAAATCAATGAAACATTAAAGTGGTCGCTCAGCGGTTAGGTCGCATAAGTGTGCAACCGCTTCACTTTGAAATAATATTGTCGGGAAAACGGTGCTCGTCTCACGAGAAGCAAGAGAGCGAGTAATTTAGTCAGCAACGATTTTGCCGTCTCCCCAGAAGCAGCTGCGCCGAAGTTGCCAACTCGCAGTCGGGAGTTCTACCGGTCGAGTCCCGATACTTGCTTTTCAAAGAGAGTCCAGCATTGGGATGTTTGTCAATTGATGTTTATTTTGGTTATTATATTTTGAAGGAGTGGGAAGAAACCGGAGCAGCTGGAGTAAACGTGTACCCACGGGATGATGAGATGCCACAACAGACGGGCCGCGAACCCCCCCCCCCTCTCTTGCTGTACTGCCATCGACATTGCTCACCTTGCAACCTGCCGAGTTGCGAAGTCTCTGAAGTCCCGTGGATATCTCGGCGTAATCCACCAACCCCGCGTTCTGAGAGCGCTGCCTTGTGGGCCCAAGTATGCGCACCGTGATGGCCTAAGGGGTCGATGCGTTCGAAAGAAGCATGGTGAATGGCCATTAGCCAAAACGTCGCCTATTATATACCTTTCATTTTTTTAAAGGCAGTGCCCTTGACGATTGTTTGAGCTGTTGTTGTTGTTCTTCTTCTTATTTGTGCTTGAGTACCAATGCCAAAACAGCAACTACTTTGTTGTATAATTCATAGTGTGGTGGGTCCAGGATGCGGTGGGGGGGGGAGATGGGGGGGGGACTGATAAGGACCTGGTTTTGCCTCGCGTCTTCATCTGTTCTCACCATTCGCACCACCACCCCCGACTGCCTCTCTCCATTTTGTGGTCTCAACCACGGGATGTCCTGGTCAAACCACAGCAAACGCGGAATTTCCACCGCCTGCCGGGTTCCGGAGCCCGCGATAGACACGAGAGGAAACGCTGCTGGGGAGAACGTGCGGCACAACAACAAACAGATGCCCCCGTGACACCTTCACAGACTGTTGGGGCCAAGTGCTGCTCGCGAGCGCCTATGAAGGCCGCCGGCACGGGGTCACGTCTGGAAATGGGTGGCCGAACATCACGGCCGTTCGGCCAACTCTGTCTCCCCCAGTGGTTGTGTTCACCAGCTACTCAATTTGAAGGCCGAGTCCACCAAGGTTCGGAGAATCGCCACCTGGCGTTTGGCCGTGAGCGGGGTAAGGAATCGAACCCCCGGGCGACTGCACTTGGCACTCCCCGCGAGCGAGGACGCGCGCCTTCTCTCACCACAAGCGAATGTTGTGAGCGCGCTCTCACGTGACCTGCAGCAGGCGTTTCGCTGCTCCCGGTCTCCGCCTGGGCTGTGTCGGGTTTAATGGCTTCCCTAAGTGGCTTGTTAGCGTCTGACAGCGGCTCCCAGCGCGCCGGAGCCTGCGGTTATAGCCGCTCCGAGCCGCTCCGAGCCGCTCCGCCGCGCGTAATTGCTAATTTCTCTCCGGCTTCTTCCCATCTCTCGCCCAACCACCACTCCCTTCCCCCCCCCCCCCCACCGCATCGACATGCACACGCGCGCGACATGCATGCACCCACACGCACACGCGCACACACACGCACGCGCGCGTACGCACCGCGAACGAGTCTTTATATTTCTCATCCCCCTGATCTCCCACACCAACTCTACGATACAGCCGGGTTTCTTGTTGTTGTTGTTGCTGCTGTTGTTGTTAACTCCCGGGTTTCAAATGAGGGCATTGTTTGCGGGCGGTGCCGAACTGTCGATAGCATCGATCCGGCACGTGCCTCCAGAGGCCCCCGGCGTGGAGCTTCGGGGGTCCAATTAGAGCAATCCTCCTCTTCTCTTTGCCGGCGACCAAACCGCTGGCGGCTGTTGTTGTCGTTGCATGGCGGCAAAAAGCGTGACGGGGAAGACGAACTCGGTTTACCGAGGCATCCTTAGGCGGTGCTCTTACGCGAGTGACCCTTCCAACTCGCCCTGCCTGACTGCTCGTGATGTCCAAAATGCCCGCGGAGAAAGTCTGAAAGAGCAGCAGCAGCATCACCACCACCATCAACAACCTACACACGTTCAACCGAAACAGCGCGACCGGTCATCATAGCCAACCCTCTCGACTGGCATCCACACGCACCGCAGGCAATTGTTGTTATTGTTGCCTATAGATGTGTTGTCACCTCGTCCTGCTCACGCACATTGGGCCGGCGGGCTGCACCCAGAGGCTTTGTGGAGGCGACGACACGCAAAGAGGTCCCCGTTCAGTCTGACCCCCCTCGTCCCACGCCAACTCCCCCCACCCCCCACCCCGTTCCTGGCGCTCGCACCGCACAACGCGCACGGACCCTTGCGCCACGCGCTCCTCCTCTGCGTCACGACAGACGCACGTGGCACGGCCGCGAGGCCATCATCTGGTGAGGGACACCTCCTCGCGGTGTCCGTGCAAAGCGAGCGGGGCGAGAGGTTTGACCACGCCACCACCGCCACCACCGCCGCCACCACCACCACCACCGACGCCGCTCAGCACCGACGCTGCGTACGGTCTAAATCCAGCCTCGTGTGGCCTCACCGCACCGCCTCCTCCGCCGCCGCCGCACATCATCTCCGCGGCCGCCGCCCTATGCGCGATCCCTCCATGCCCCGCCGATCCACCCACCCCGCCGCCGCCGCCCCCTCCTGCTGCTGCGGCGGCCGCGGCGGCCGCGGCGGCCGTGGCGGCCGTAGACGTGTGGCAGCTGAGGCACGAGCAGGGCCCCCCTCCTCCTCCGGCCCCCTGCTGCTGCTGCAGGCCGTGAGCCGCGGAGTAGAGAGCTGCGGCGGCGGCGGCTGCGGCCGCGGTCCCCGGCGAGCGGAGGCCGCACAGGAGCTCGGGCCGGGAGTAAGGGTGGGCGTGGTGCAGCGCGGCCCGAAACGAGTCGAGCGGCCGCAGGGCCGTGGTCGGGAAGGGCCCCACCGAGCCAGAGCCGGCGGCGATGCCCACGGGCGAGTAGTACGGCAGCGGCGGCACGTGGTGCGGGAACGGATAGGGCAGCCCCCCCGTGGCGGCCGCGGCGGCCGCGTGGGTCATCATGTAGGAGTAGAAGCCCGGGTCGGCCGGGTGAGGCCACGACATGGCCAGCCGCTGGCGCTTGTCCTTCATGCGCCGGTTCTGGAACCACACCTGGCCGCCCAGTGGACACGTGCATGCACACGTGCGCGTAAGTAAGCAGGTAGGTACACCGCATTGATAGAACGGACAAATATTCCCATACCCCCCCCCCCACCACCACCACTATAGCAGAATCTAACCAGACTTTTGGGGCAAGTGTTGTGAGCGAGCACCTATGAAGGTTTGCACGGCCACACGGCTGGGTTGGGGTGTGCGGGCGGAGGGGAATGAAACACCACGCCCGGCCGCCTTTGTCTCCCCAGTGCGGATTTTTTTACGCATGTCCTCAGCTGAGTCGGTCTAGGGGAGGCTCAACACCTGTTCAGCACCTGTGTTATACTGTATGTCTCGTGTTAGGACAGGGTTGTTAATGTGTTACATCTCTTTACTTTGTTGGTCGTGCTTTTAAACCACGGCCAACGCAGCATCGCGTGTGTGTTTTTTCTTGTAACACAACGTTAGGGCTATAAAGTTTAAACTGCGTCTCTATTATCACAGGTTTCCCTCCCTTTATGCGGTCGGAGTAGATCCGTTCCAAACAAAAGGGTGCACAAAGCGAAACCACGCGGGGAGACAGCTGCTTGCCAAGTAGTGCACACAGTACACATTGAGTACACACAGTACATACACAGTACACACGGTACACACGTTAGCACACACACAATGTTTTTTTCCACGTCCGACCGCATATCCGAATCTAAGTGAATTCAAACCGCATATATCGAATTTTGGGCAGAAATAGGTTAGCCAGATATTTACGAAATCGCACAAACCGAACCAGCGTAAAGCGATGGAAACCGATGTTAGCATTATTGTCGTTCATAATAAAGGTTTTTGGGATAGATCGCGTTATTTATAAATGCGTCGTCGTACTCAAACTGTAAATGTTGTAGATTCACTCTTCAACACACCGGTGGGCTAAAGTAGTGAACTATTTGTCTTTTGTCAACGTGACACTTTTTTGCTGATTGGCCGTGTCGGGTGGTGGAGGGTTACGACACATTTATAAATAACGCGATCTAACCCAAAACCTTTATTATGAATAATATTGGTCGCGAAAGCCTACGTATTATCGTCGTTGTTGTCATACGACCTAAAGGGAACCTATAAACGCTGCAATTATGCCCTATAAAAGTTAAATATCACCTTAAGTGAAGATAAAAACTGGATTTTTTTTGGAGAGCAATAAAACGCGAGAGCTCATTGACACCGAGACACGTGGATACGCACACCTCAATTGGCAACGTCTCAGAGGAAAACACAATAACACCGAGACAATGATCGTCGATTGTTCCTATTGTCTATCGTCCCCAAAGGTACACACGGAGAGAACGTCGATGCACAGCTGGACATGATCCGGATCGCCTCACAAAGTCAGGAGGGCAACCAACCCCAAAAGCCCGCTCACGTGATGGGAACACTATGACACGTGGACACGTGGTCACAACGACACGTGGACACGAACAATGATAGCCCATGTGCACACACGTCCACCTAAGTCACACAGAAACACGTGCATGCAAAGACAAAGATCATCTATATAGCCTTAACAGACTGTTGGGACAAGTGCTGATAGCGAGCACCTTTGAAGGCCGGCACGGCGATGTTTACAAACCTCACCAGGTAATCATTTGAGGCTGAGTCGACATAGGAGAGGCCCAGAACCGATTCAGAAAATCGTCATTAGTGTTGGCCGTGAGCAGGAATCGAACTCGGGTCGCAGGGTTTTGTAGTGCAGTGCACTAACTGTTACGCTACCGTTCCGCTAGACTCATACACACACACACTCAAATACACGTACACACTCACATACACGTATACACACACGCACCATTATGTTACATGTGCTAGGGGACAGCAGGAAATGGAGGGCAAACACTTTTCCAGCCCGTGCCGATTATCACGTCTCAGGGACACGAATCTCGTCAGTCCATGTCGCAGAGACACCAGGACAGTACGTGGACATGTGGACACGTGTCTCGACGGCTCAGCCTCTGTATCAACCCACGTGGACACCATCCGTGGACACGCATCACGATGCTCCATGCGAAAGGAACACGGGGACACGTGGGCACAAAGAGAACGCGGAGGAGACATCGGCTCACCATGACACACGTTCACCGCGTGGACAAAGACACACACACAAGTACCCCTTCATTGTCAATGCTACATGGACACCTTGATGGTCAATGTCTCGAGCATCTCACACGAGCTGCATTGAGGCTCCACTTCGTAGCTTCACGTTACAAGGGCAATCGTACACGAGGACACAAAGGACATGCATCTTGATAGTCAATGTTTCTTTCATCGCCTCTAATAGTACTACTAATGATTGTAACTTGATAGTCCATACTTCTACCATCTCACGACGACACCACATGGGCACCACGTGGGCACACACACCTTGATGGTCCACGTCTCTCTACGCCGTCTCACGACGGGCACCACGTGCACACCATGTTGGCACACGCACCTTGATGGTCCACGTCTCTACGCCGTCTCACGCCGACGCCACGTGGCCACCACGCACCTTGATGGTCGTCTCGGGCAGGTTGAGGGCCGCCGCCAGCTCGCACCGGCGAGGCCTCGAGACGTAGTTCTCGCGGTAGAACTCCTTCTCCAGGCGGCCAATCTGCTCCCTCGTGAAGGCCGTGCGGTAGCGCCGGACCCCGTCCGAGCCCAACACCCCGCCTGGGGGGCCGCTCATCCTGCTCAGGTTGCCACCACCAGGCCCCATGTCGTGGGCTTTGGTGCCCGGGCCCGGGCTCTTGGCATCAGGGGACGTGTCCGAGCTGCCCACGGAGAGACTCTTGGTGTCTGTATGGCAGTCAAAGGAAGGGGAGTTGTCCCAAATGTGAGAATCTGAGCGTGATTTAGGTCGATGTGCCTCGAGCGGATCTGCGGAGTGGATACGCATGTGCATGTGTATGTAAATAGAACTTTTTTCGCACCGCGCCTAGCTAACAGTGCTAATCGGAGATGCAGGGGAAGGAGAACAAATTGAACACAAACAGCAGTTCTGAAAAAATGAGCATGTAATATGTGGATATCGTGTGCCTAATTAGACCCATACAGGCAGACCACTTCTCAATGAAGTGCGATGATACGCAAAGGTTTTACAATACAATGTGAAATGTTCATTTATGCTGTGTATCTAAATCAGCTCTCAAGCCTCCCGTAAGTCACGCGAATTTTGCGTGGCCACACCCTCACTCTAAATCCCTCCCCCACCACCAGCCCGCTCCACGCAGCTCACTTCTGCTCGCTGCTGCCATCTCCCTTCCCCCCCTCATCATCATCATCATCCTCTCCGACATCTCGGCCCGGTCATTCTTTCTCCACCTCGTCCTCCCCTTCCTGACCAGCGCTCGCCTTCTTTCTTCCTGCTCCTCACCTTTGAGGCATGCCACCCCTTTTGTCCATCTTGAGAGATCTCTAACCAATTAACACGATCTGTACCACGTGGAGCACGTTCACAAAGACACATGCGCTCGCTGACACCTCAATCTTAATTTGAATCGGCTCTATTAATGCAACAAAGCAGCATCAATTGCTCTGCACGTCACGTGGCGCGTGTTTCACAATCATCGGGCGCGTGCGGCGTGCAACGGGCTAATTTGCATTCGAACGGGAGGAGTAAATTCAAACAGGAAACGGGATCGGTAAATCCGTCTGTGCAGATATTTGAGTGCTATCCCCTCGCGTGTCCGGTGGGATTTCTCCGGGGTTCTACCGGTTTTCTGCCACGTGCGGTAAAAGACGCCCCAGGAATCAAGTCACCACCGAAACCGGCGCAGAACTTTCTCGAAAAAACAAAAACAATCCTTCGTTAGTGCCGTCATCTCCTGAGCATAAGACGCTCCAGAAAAAAAGCCGCGCCAAAAAAGCTGTGCCCGGTGTCAATGAAGTTACACAAACATGGTCACCTGCACAACAATCGCCATTCGCTACTAAGTAGCGGTGACGTCACCCCGACGCTCGTGCCAGGCTAGGTGCACTTTGTCACATGCAGACACATATATACATGTACACACTCAAACGGATTAAAATACGAAATATAAACCTTTGCTTTCATATATTAAGTGATTATAATTAGGAACAACCAAATATAAAAAGACCCATTTAATAACCTAAACAGGCTTCTGGGACCAGTGCTGTTATGTACGTATGTTGAACTTCTTTCGCACCGTACTTGCCAACCGTGATAATCGAAGGTGTGGGGGAAGGACAGCGAAGTGAACATAAAACATTGTCGCGGAGCACCTGTGAACGCGGGCACGGCACACGAGGGGGTGGGTGGCCAGCACCACGTCCGGCCGTCTTTGTCTCCCTAGTGGCGATGTTCACACACCGCACCAGGAACTCGATTGAAGCAGAGTCGACCTATCGGAGGCCCAGGACCGGTTAAGATAATTGTCACTAGGGAGACAAAGGCAGCCGAACGTAGTGCTGGTCTTGGCCGTGAGCGGGAATCGAACCCGTGTGGCCGGCTTCGTCTCGCAGCGCGCTAACCGCTGCACAAAGACAAAGACCCCCCGTATAGTCTTAACATACTATAGGGGCAAGTGCTGTTCGCGAGCGCATATGAAGGCCGGAAGGGTACACGAGGTGGGTGACCAGCACCATGCCCGACCGCCTTTGTCTCCCCGAGTTTGAGGCTGAGTCGACCTAGGGGATGCCGAGTACCGGTTCAGATAATCGTCACCGGGTGTTGGCCGTGAGCGGGAGTCGAACCCGGGACGCCGGGTTCATAGCGCAGCGCGCCAACCGCTGCACTTACATCCCATTCGTATGTAAATAAAAAAGGAAGATGTCTTACATGGAAAACGCCATTCCCTTCACATCGATTTGGCTCGGCTCCCGTTACAAGGATGAACGGTGGCAATTCCGTCACGTGTGTAGCGTGATGACACTGCAGGACTAAGCTGGCATAAAACAAAAACTCGAACCATTAAGCAAGCAATAATCACCCTTTTTAACTTTCCCAAATACCGACTAAGAGATATACGCACACACACTCAAACGCTAAGGTGAGAATGTACCTGTCATAATTATCATCATCATCATCATGTGTCATGATCTATCGGCTGCTAGATGAAGGCGTCACCGATGCCGCTGCCCCCGCCGCCGCTGCCACCTATCGCTGTCATGCGATGCGATCATTAATCCAGCAACCGGCACACGAAGTGATTCCATCGCTCCGTCTCTTCCGGCGATGGACGCTCTATATCGGGCGCGTTCCATTCCTTGGCTACAACACTCCGTTATTATTTTTGGACCGTCGTACGTCATCAATCAATTGCCTCTCGCCGGCTTATGAATAAAGCGATTGTGTGTCTTTGCCTTAGGTTGACTCAGCCTCGACCATCGATCAACGTTCCTGCTAGCGACGTCGAAATCGATCCCGTCGCCTCGGCTTCGTGGCTGGACCGTCCCTCCTCTCCTTTGGCTGCCACTCCGCCGTTCGTCTCGACCACCATGCATCCATCCACCCACCCCTTGGAGACTTGTTCACAACACGGAGACTTATTTGCTCGTAAAAACGTGCGCGCGCACGCGTGCGCATCATGGCTAAACATTCATGCTTGTAGTCTCGCTGGTATCTGTGTGAAAGCTATAATCACCGTTTTTTAAACCTCCTTTAAAAATATATGTCTGACCGTGCTATGTATGTAAGTACGTTGAACTTATTTCGTACCGTACGTGGCCAACCGTGCTCATCGGTGATACGGGCTATGAATTATAATAGGTTGCATTCCCGATCTGTTCTACGAAATATAACCATCCCCCCCCCCCCCCCGAGACCTGTGCACGCGACGGAGCAGATAAAAGCTGATCCATGCATATTTCTCCTTCATTAACCACGTCGCCTCCACCACAGAGGGACATTGTTGTTCCGCCCTATCGTAATACAACGGGCAATCATAATTATAGTAGGAATAACAATGATGTTCATGTTGTTGTTGTCGTCGTCTGTTTACTCATCGTGCGGCAGGAAACCGAAGTACTCGGAGGGAATCCCGTGACGTGTCCGCGTGGTTTGACGCTCGCAGATCTGCACAGACGGGTTCACGAACACACACGCTGCTGATGTACTGCCACCCCCCCACACCCTTGGGTCTTGTGGAGTTCCACAACTCCCTACGCGATACACCAACCCCCCTTTCATTCTTTTTGCAAACCGCTGGAACACAAAGCGCTCGTAGGCCCCCCGTGTCCGGCACATTTTATGCATCTGTTTGAAACTCAGATCTGCCTTGAACAAAATAGATGTACTGCCTCAAATGGCTCTTAGCTGTTAGTAAATAAGACCATATATACGATAGATGATAGATAGATGTCGGTGCAGCCGTCTTAATGTTACAGGGCACATGTAACGTTATGACGGCACCTCCCAATAACATGGTTGGCTACGTACGGTGTAGAAGAAGTTCTACATATGTACAGGGTAGACTATACATGCGAAATGTGCTGTACACACCGTTTGATATCACATCACAATCCATGTCACCATATTGTCCCTTCATTGTATCTTATATTACTATGAACGTGTTCATAGGATTATATGAAGATAGGATAAAATAATATGATTATGGATAGGCGTGCTCTGTAATCTAGTGGTAGTGCCTCATGCCGATATGATCTACACTCCAAGTCAGCCTTGCAGCGTTCCAGAAAATGTTCAACTGAGACCTGGAAATCATGCATGTCAACATGCATGTGTTCGCACAAGGACAAAGAATCCCCGTACAGCCTGTAACAGACTGTTGGGGCAAGTGCTGCTGGCAGGCACCTGTGAAGGCCGGCACTGTGGCACACGAGGAGTTGGGTGGCCAGCACCACGCGCCCGGTCGCCTTTGTCTGCACCAGGAGGCACTCACGTAAGATCCGAGTCAACCTAGTTCGGGCCAGGACCAGTTCAGATAGTCGTCACCGGTGTTGGCCGTGAGCGGGAATCGAACCCGGGTTGCCGGGTTCGTGCACAGCGCGCTAACCGCTGCGCCACCGCTCCCACGAAGCGCATGCACAAACACACAGGCAGACACGACGCGAGGAGCACACGCGCATATGGCGTATGGAGTCCATAGGGACCGGTGGTGCTGTTGTTGTTGGTGATGTGGTGGTTCTTGTTATTAATACGAGTGGGGGCAGTGATCGCATTGCATTTCCACTGGCGAGGCGGACCGGGCCCCAGCATCGACAAGCACAAGACGCCTACCGCGCCAACAACACGGACCGCTCACCCACTCCACTCTCATTCATCCTTCTATCAACGTTAGGTGAAAACCGCCACAACAACAATGATCACAACAACAATGATCACAACAACAATGATCACAACAACAATAACCACAACAACACAAGCGCGTCTGCAGTAGATAACTCATCCCGTGTACAGCTGTACACCGAATGAATGGCGTGGTGATAATGGTGATGCTTTGGCAGTTGTGGTTGGTCGTGGTGGTGGTTGGTCGTGGTGGTGGTTGGTCGTGGTGGTGGTTGGTCGTGGTGGTGGTTGGTCGTGGTGGTGGTTGGTCGTGGTGGTGGTTGGTCGTGGTGGTGGTTGGTCGTGGTGGTGGTTGGTTGGTCGTGGTGGTGGTTGATGTTATGGGTAGCGGTAGTTGTAGCGGTTAGCACGCTACGAACCCTGGCGATTCGAGTTCGATTCGCGCTCAAGGCCAACACCAGTGACCATTATCTGAACCGGTCCTGGGCCTCCTCTCGGTCGACTCAGCCTCAAATAAACAACACAACTCAACACATTCGTCTCTTCTTCAGCAACGATGATGAAGAAGGGCCATTGCCCAACACGTCGC